GTGTCGAAACATGTTTAGAGTGCATCCCAACATACTTAGAGTGCGTCGAAACACGTATATAGTGCGTCCAAGCACTTTTAGAGTGCATCCAAACAGGTTTAGAGTGCATCAAAACATTTTTAGAGTGCGTCAACACTTGTTTAAAGTGCGTCGAAACATGTTTAGAGTGCAATAAAAGATGTTTAGAGTTCATCGAAACATGTTTAGAGCACGTCGAAACATATTTAGAGTGCATCCAAACTTATTTAAAATGCGTCAAAACATACTAGGAATGCATCCAAACATGTTTAGAGTGCATTAAAACATTTTTAGAGTGCGTCGAACCATATTTAGAGTGCCTCGAAACATGTTTAGACGAACTCTAAACATGTTTAGAGTGCGATGAAATATACTTAGTGATGAGGTCATCGACTTAGATGAGCTAAACGAGGAGCAAGCGGAGCAAGGAAACCATGGAACGCACAAAAGAGCTGAGGAGCACAAAGGAGCGAAGGAGGAGGACAAGCAAGGAGAGACAACCAATGAACCAGTCTTTCCGATAATTCCCGACCCACCACTCACAAGGGAAAGAGCACGGAGTTGTTTCCCAGCATAGCAGTAAATAGATATTCTCAACCAAAGCTCTTGTTGTCTACCACCTGATCCACCTAGGAGCATGTGCTTATGTTGCAGAAGACCTGAGCCAACACTTGAATCCTACTGCATAAGATCACTTAAATACAATGCATCTACATAAGGAATAGAGTTGACATCAATGCAACTCAACTTACCAAATTCGGAACACTCATCAAGGGCAATTTAGGACAACATTTCTGCAGAATCAAGCAAGGAAATCTCGCCATCAGATCAAGGAGCTGTTGGATACAAATAAGGCAATTTCGAAGACAACTCATCACTCAAGAAAGGCAAGTTCGGATATGAACGAAATCAGACATAATACCTTGCCATTTCTTGCACTAGCCGTTGCTGACAGATTCCATGGAGATTTCAAGCTTTCCATTTCTCTCTTGCAGCCATTGCTTAGGTGGAAATGTTGCCATAGATTGTGGCTTAGGTGTTAATTCGTTTTCTTTTGTATTTTCTCTATCCTTTTCTATTTAAGCTATTGTATTTCAACTTTTTCCAGCAGATTTGATCATAATAAAAACTTTGAGTACTTGTTTCTTATTCTCTCTCGAATTGTCTTGAAATTCTGCAAGCAATCTGAGTTCTTGAGCTAGTATTGAGTGAGATTCTTGATTTCTAGCCAAGGCCCTAGTGACGATATCAAAGAGATCATCCATCCCTCTTTGTGGTGTCATCTATCCCATCCAATCCATTCCCTTGAAGTGTAATCTGAGTGCAATTGCCTAGATCACTTCGTCCACACTATCCTTTGGAATTACTCGGTGAGACACTTCCCAGCCTATCGAGTTTCCAGTCATTGCCGAGCCTTTGTTCTTCATAACCTGTGCGTGTATCATTTTTGGTATCAGAGCCCGGTTCAAGGCCACACGCAAGGTAACACTGTTGATTCGATTTTATTCTTGTTATTTTGATTTGTGTGTGTTTGTGCAAGAAAAATGGCTGAGAACGCAGAGAACACTCAAACTGCGATCCTACAAGTCCTGCAACGCCTAGAGGAACGTTTAACGCGTTTAGAGGAGGTACCACGAAGGATACAACCTGTTAGGTTCAATATGCGCCCCAATAACGCAAATCCAGAACCGGATCCACCTGATGCACAACAAAGACCGAGAAGAATGCAAAATCCAAGAGCTCGTCTCGAAGAGGATGAAGATTCTGATCATTCTACTCAGAACCGACGGAGGAGGAATGTTCAAAACCAAAGGTATGTTGATGAAAGTGATGAGGAGGATGTACCTAGGAGGCAACCACGAGTTCAAAGACACCAAGGTACAGATTTGAAACTAAAACCTCCTACTTTTGCTGGTAAAGTTAATTATGAACCTTATCTCGATTGGGAGAGACAGATGGAAAATATTTTCGATTGCTATACATATACCGAACAGAGGAAGGTTCAATACGCGGCGGCTCAACTCACGGACAATGCACTAACATGGTGGGACCGAGAAACAGCCGAAAGAAGACGTTCTCACTATGATCCAATAATCTCCTGGAGGGAAATGAAATATCTCATGAGAAAGAGGTATGTTCCACCACATTTCCATCGGGATTTACATAGACGATATCGTAAGTTGGTGCAGGGGAACATATCGGTTGAAGACTACTTTGAGGAGTTTGAGTATCTTCGGAATCGATTGGAGATAGAAGAGGATGATGAGACTGTTATGGCTCAATTTCTAGACGGACTACAAGAACGCATCGCAAGAAAGGTAGAAAGACAAGTTTACCATGATATTCATGATCTTTTACATCTTATTGTACAAATAGAGCAGCAGATACACAAGAAGCAAGCTAGGACAAACCGGACCAGAATGCCTAGCAATGTGTATCCGAGAACCGAGAGCAAAGGACACAACATGCCCACCTCAAAACCTGTTCAGGAGGATCCAAAGAACAAAGGAAAGGGCATTGTAACATCCAAAGGTGAAACTTCTGTAAGTAACAAATCTAACACTCCGAGCCAAGAGATTCTTTGTTACAAGTGCAGGGGTCGAGGACATTATGCTCGTGATTGTCCAAACAAGCGTGTAATGGTCATCACCGAGGCTGGAGATTATGATTCTTTGGATGAGGAAGAGGCTGAAAATCTGGAAGAAGAAGTTGAGTATCCGGACAGCGGGGAGCTACTTGTCACACGGCGAGTCTTGAGCACCATGACTACCCCAGAAGAAACCGCACAACGTGAAACCATTTTCCACAGCCGATGTACCGTGAAGAACAATGTATGTGGGTTAATCATAGATAGCTGTTCCTGCACTAATGTTGCTAGTGTTTACATGGTGAAGAAGCTAGGACTCGAAATGGAAAAGCATCCCCACCCTTATAAACTACAGTGGCTGAACAACCAAGGAGAACTTAAGGTGAATGAACGGGTGAAAATCTCGTTTAGCATTGGGAGATACCAAGATGAGGTAATGTTCGATGTGGTTCCTATGCAAGCTGGTCATATTCTCCTTGAAAGACCATGGCAATTCGACCGAGAGGTTAAGCATGATGGTAGGACAAATCACTACTCTTTCATGTTTAACAAGCATAAGATCTCATTAGCACCTCTTAGCCCTTTACAAATACATGAAATGCAATTGAGGTTGTCTAAGGAAGTTGAGGATAGCAAGAAACCGAATTTCTATGTCAAACCGAGCATGGTAAGTAAAGCTTTGGTTGATGAACGAGCTGTACTACTCATGGTCTTTAAAGATGTTTTGAGTACAGGATTCGAAGAGAAAGAGCTTCCTTCCGAGATCACACAGATTCTAGAGCGGTTTAAGGATGTATTTCCGGAAGAAACTCCACCGGGGCTACCACCAACGAGAGGAATCGAGCATCAAATCGATTTGATCCCGGGAGCACCTCTCCCAAAAAGACCCGCGTATCGAATGAACCCCGAAGAGACCAAAGAACTACAAAAACAGGTACAAGAGTTATTGGAAAAGGGTTATATTCGTGAAAGTTTGAGTCCATATGCAGTTCCCGTTTGACTCATCCCGAAGAAAGATGGAACATGGAGGATGTGCGTGGATTGTCGGGCGCAGTCAAATACCGACATCCTATCCCGCGTTTGGACGACATGTTGGACGAGCTTAGTGGAGCCACTATCTTCTCCAAGGTAGATCTAAAAAGCGGTTATCACCAAGTCAGAATGCGCGAAGGTGACGAATGGAAAACCGCATTCAAAACGAAGCATGGGCTGTACGAGTGGTTAGTCATGCCCTTCGATTTAACGAACGCACCAAGTACATTCATGAGGCTCATGAATCATGTCCTACGAGCCTTCATCAGTAAATTCGTTGTGGTTTATTTCGATGATATTTTGATTTATAGCAAATGTCTTGTTGACCATGTGACACATCTTGAGCTAGTCATGGAGACTCTCCGAAGAGAGAAACTTTATGCTAATCTCAAGAAGTGCACATTCTGCACTAATGAGGTTGTTTTTTTAGGTTTTGTTGTGAGTTCGCAGGGGTTACATGTGGATGAAGAAAAGATCACAGCAATCCGAGATTGGCCAACCCCTACAACCGTCGGACATGTGCGAAGCTTCCATGGCTTGGCGAGCTTCTACCGTCGGTTTGTTTGTGACTTTAGCAGCCTTGCAGCCCCTCTTACGTCCATCATCAAGAAAGATAAGCCATTCAAGTGGGGAGAAGCGCAAGAGAAGGCATTCAACACGTTAAAGGAGCAACTCACGAGGGCACCCGTCTTAGTCCTTCCCGACTTTGACAAGGTATTTGAAATAGAATGTGATGCATCCGGTGTGGGTATTGGAGCTGTTTTGATGCAGGAGAAACGACCCGTGGCATACTTTAGCGAAAAGCTAAATGGAGCAACACTCAACTATCCCACATATGACAAGGAGCTATATTCTTTGGTACGCGCATTACAAACATGGCAACACTACTTATTGGCGAAAGATTTCATCATACATACGGATCACGAGACCCTCAAGCATCTCAAAGGACAAACTACGCTCAAGAAGAGGCATGCGAGGTGGATGTGTTGAAGAGCAAAAGAATAACAAGCATGACACGAGAAGACTTGAGGAGCAAGGAAGCATGGAAACAACAAAGGAAGAATTGATGTTGCTACAGGTGGAAAACCATGTCATTGGAGGAATTAATATGCTCGGCATATACCAAGGACGAAATTCATGCTTTGGTGGTGCATTATTCCTCCTCTCCAAGTTGAACCAAGTGTCAACCATGCACCAAGATATTGAATGCTTTCTCCATCTCCAAATCTGCCAACAACCTCATTAAATGCTTCTGCACATGCACAACTTCAACAGCTAGTTCATTAATGATTGTTTCTCTTTCCTTTCTCTATAAATAGCATCCTCTTGTGCTAGAATAGATAATAATCAAGAATAAGAAATAGAGACTTAAGGAAATATGAGTTATTTCCCCTATATCCTTATTTCGTTCTTATCTCCTCTTTCGTATTAATCTTCATCTCCTACGTTTCGTTATTCATATTCCATCTTCCACAAACACAAAATTCTACATGATATCAGAGCATTAAGGTCCAAGACCTCTCTGTTATAAATTTGTTTTTCTTCCGCTGCATAAACCGAGCAAATTCCCTCTTATCTTTGGTTGATAGAAAGAGGAGCCTGTTCGTGTATTCAATTCTATTTCTACCTTCTTTGGCCATTCTTTCAAGCCAAAGGGAGTCATATTTTTCAAGTTTTTCGTTGGCCTCTCATTCAAGCCACGATTAACCATTTTTCTAAGTTCATTTCGGTTCTTATATCCAAAACCGAGTGAACCGTTCTTGTTTTGTCACCTCCACATAATTTTCATTCTTTTGAACATTTTCAATCCACTAAACTTATATGTGGAATTCTTGGGATGTGAATTATGGTCCTTTAGAAGATGAGGAAGGAAATCATTGCACATATTGTGTAGATGAACATGGTAATGTCGAAGAATATTGGTCTTCCAAACAATCCATTGAAGCATGGCATAAACTATCCATAGAGGAGATAGCAGCTACATGTGTGGATGAAGACCCCTTTTTCGAGCAAGAAGATGAGAAGGAATGTGTTGTGGACGACAACGTCTTTGATCATCTCCCATCGGATATCAAGGAGGCTTTAATCTCAACGATCAAACACTGCAACATACGGTTAACTCCTTCTCTCCTTGAATCCCTCTGTAATTCTAATGAGTTTGTTCAAATGATGGAAAAAAGGCAGGAAGAGAGCACAATAGAGCTGATCGTAAAGGAGAAGACGACCGAAAACAAAGTGGAAAGAGGACACAAGCAAGAAACCTCATTGGCGAGCCACAAAGAGGACACAACGTCCCAAAAACTTCAACCGTATGAGGAGACTTTGCCTTCTCCTATCCATGACAATCAAATTCGGTCCATTTCTACCTCTTCATCTCTTTCATTTCGTTCTCACGATGTTTTGTTTGCAAGAGAGGATACAAATCAAATATCGGTGGCATTGGAAGCGGATGACACAAAAGAAGGGAACAAGGAAAACACAGATTTGGTTGAATTAGAAGACCTCAATGAGAAGGCAAAGACCCTTGATGAGGCACCAAAAACATCCGAGATGCAGTTGTTTCTATCCCCTCAAAGAAATCCAAGCACCACAATCATATGGTTAATCACTAGAGTTTGTGATCTTTTCTCATGTCCTATGAAACTTGATACATTTTTTCAAGATAACATTTGTGGGTCTTTAAGTATTACTCAACAGTCCTTAAATGAGGAATTGTTCAAGCTTTTCAAGCACACGAGCGAGGGGAAACATGATGGTACTCTCATATGCTTTCTAAGCAAAAGAAATGCAAGAAATGGAGAAACATCAAAGGAAGAAACCAAAAACAGAAATCTGAAGTTTAAATGGAGTATGAATTGCCTATGAGTTTCAACAACTCTAAGCTTGGTAAATTTTCATCTCATTACTTTGTATTTGATCCTGGTGCATCTTATAATAAGCATATGTGTTTTGATGGAAAACAAAACATCATCATTACTAACATGTTTGATTATGCAATTGATACATGTAAAAGGAAAGATATCATGTTTAATGCATCTAATGTGCATTTCAATCATATGTTCTTCGAAGATAACCATCAACTAAAGTTGTATGCATGCATATTATCAAATCTGAAGTTTAAACTTATTAGGACACTTTTTCTATTGTTATTTGATGATAATCACATTTTTACATCATTAAATCCGATTTCTCTTATTAAGCGGGGTGATATGGCCTCCCTTGTGGTTTCTAACGATTTTAATGAGTTATTACAGAAAATCAAACGGAATGGACAAAATGGAAGATTGAAACCGATGGAATCGCAAAGGAATGAGCCTGGACGCTTGAAGACTGAGCAATACATTCTCTTGGCAATATTAACCTTTCGAAAATTCTCCATGTTAATCTCGAGGGGAAATGTTGAAGAGCAAAAGAGTAACAAGCATGACACGAGAAGACTTGAGGAGCAAGGAAGCATGGAAACAACAAAGGAAGAATTGATGTTGCTGCAGGTGGAAAACCATGTCATTGGAGGAATTAATATGCTCAACATATACCAATGACGAAATTCATGCTTTGGTGGTGCATTATTCCTCCTCTCCAAGTTGAACCAAGTATCAACCATGCACCAAGATATTGAATGCTTTCTCCATCTCCAAATCTGCCAACAACCTCATTAAATGTTTCTGCACATGCACAACTTCAACAGCTAGTTCATTAATGATTGTTTCTCTTTCATTTCTCTATAAATAGCATCCTCTTGTGCTAGAATAGATAATAATCAAGAATAAGAAATAGAGACTTAAGGAAATCTGAGTTATTTCCCATCTATCCTTATTTCGTTCTTATCTCCTCTTTCATATCAATCTTCATCTCCTACGTTTCGTTATTCATATTCCATCTTCTACAAACACAAAATTCTACAGGATGGAGTTCATTGAGGCATTCCCATATGTGATCAAGTACAAGAAAGGCAAGGACAATGTGGTGGCAGATGCACTCTCAAGGAGGCACACTCTTATCACCACCATGGAGGCAAGAATGCTCGGCTTTGAGCATATCAAAGGCCTGTACCGCGACGATCCGGAGCTCGAGGATATCTATGAGGAGTGCAACAAAGGAGCATACGGATCATTCTACAAGGAAGGCGATTACTTGTTCCGAGAGCGCAGATTGTGCATTCCACAATGCTCAATGAGGGATCTCATTCTTCAAGAAGCGCATGGAGGAGCACTCATGGGACACTTTGGCGTGGACAAGACACTCGCTGTATGAAAGGAGCATTTCTTCTGGCCACGTCTCAAACGAGATGTTGAACGACATTGTGCTCGATGTGTTCAATGCCATCAAGCCAAGTCTAAGACACACCCGCACGATTTGTATCTTCCCTTACCTATTCCTACTTGTCCTTGGACTATTTCTATGGACTTTGTTCTTGGACTTCCAAAAATCCAGAACAAAGATTCCATCTTTGTTGTTGTTGACAGGTTTTCAAAGATGGCGCATTTCATTCCTTGTGCAAAGACAAACGACGCCTCTTACATAGCTGATCTGTTCTTTAAGGAGATCGTGAGGATTCATGGGCTGCCTAAGACCATAGTTTCTGACCGAGACACGAAGTTCATGAGTTACTTTTGGAAGACATCGTGGAGAAAACTCGGAACCAAGCTTTTGTTCTCTACAACCTGTCATCCTCAAACCGATGGGCAAACGGAGGTTGTCAACCATACTTTGGGGACGTTGTTGCGAGCAGCTATAGGGAGAAACTTGAAGAATTGGCTGGACTCCCTTCCCCATGTCGAGTTTGCATACAATCGAACTATCCATTAGACAACAAAGCATTCACCATTTGAGGTTGTCTACGGGTTCAACCCCATCACTCCGCTGGATCTCTCGCCTATTCCAAACAAGGAAATGGTCAGCCTCGATGGACAGCAAAAGGCCGAGAGTGTGATGAAGTTGCATGCAAAAGTCCGGGAGAATATCGCAAGGAGAACGGAGCAATATGCTCGACAAGCAAACAAGGGGCGAAAGAAGATCACTTTCAATGAGGCAGATTGGGTGTGGCTACATCTAAGGCCGGAGCACTTTCCAAACAAGAGAATATCCAAGCTAGCACCAAGAGGAGATGTGATACGATCTCGGATCGAAATTCTCTAGAAAGGCGGTGGAAATAACCAAAACCCCTAATCAACTCGTGAAAGAAACCTAGGCCCAATTTCTTGAAACAAGAAACATCCTAAACCCCTAAGCAAACCTGGATTAGAAATGTTGGTGTTGCGAAGACGCCACAAGCGTTTATGGACTTACGTTTGATAAGTCGAAGATGAACGCCACAGAAAATAGTTCTCAAAGAACTTTGAAGAGAAAACCTCTCAAATATATAAAAAGATGATTGATGATTACAAATGAGTTTAGTTCACCTATTTATAGGAGAACCAAAACAACACCAAAAGACATAAAATTGTAGAATTAATACTAGTCTTCCTAAAACTTTGAACTTATTGGAAAACAAAGTCATAATAGTGTTGGACTTTGACTAGAGTAGATTGTAAGCAACATTGAAGACTCAAATGCAGATTTTTTTGTCATTTTCGTCATGGACTTGGGCTGCAACTTTTGGGCCTTCATTTTGGGCTTTCTTAACTTGATATCATGTTGAAAATGGGCTGGACTTGTGTATGACTTGGGCCAATGTTATTTTCCATGTGTTCATGGCCCAAACATTCAAGAAAGAGTCCATTTAGAGCAGCTTGTAGCTTCTTCATCTTTGATCTCGTCATGGGTCCATCCGGAAAACTGATGTGATCCACGTTGCTCCCATTTTGTTCCGTCGTGCTTCCAATGTCCTCATCATTTCCCTCCTCTTGAGAATGATTTGTCCTCAAATCTGATTCATTATCTGCATCGAAACGAGTTAAGTCAACAACATTAAAAGTTGAACTTATCTTGTACTCACTTGGAAGATCAATCTTGTATGCATTGTTGTTGATCTTTTCCAAAACTTGAAGTGGTCCAGCTGCCCTCGGCATCAACTTTGATTTTCGTTGTAGAGGAAACCTTTCTTTCCTCATGTGTATCCAAACCCAATCGCTTGGTTCAAAGATCACTTCCCGACGTCCTTTGTTCGCTTGTTTTGCATATTGCTTTGTTCTCTTGTCAATATTCATCCTTGTCTTCTCATGAATCTGCTTAACATACTCAGCTTTTCTTTTCCCATCAAGTGCTCAGATAATGGCAAAGGAATCAAATCCAATGGAGTCAATGGATTAAAGCCATAAACTATTTCAAAAAGTGAAAACTGAGTAGCAGAGTGAACTGATCGATTATAAGCAAATTCAACATGAGGCAAACATTCTTCCCACGTTTTAAGATTCTTTTTGACAAGTGAACGCAACAAAGAAGATAATGTTCGATTAACAACTTCAGTTTGTCCATCGGTCTGAGGGTGGCATGTTGTAGAAAACAACGACTTAGTTCCTAGTTTAGACCACAATGTTTTCCAAAAGTAGCTCAAGAATTTCATATCAAGGTCTGAAACTATAGTCCTAGGCATGCCATGAAGACGAACAACTTCTCGAAAGAACAACGAAGCAACATTCGAAGCGTCATCGGTGGTATGACAAGGAATGAAATGGGCCACTTTTGAAAACCTATCAACCACCACAAAAATTGAATCTTTTCCAGTCCTAGTCCTAGGCAATCCAAGCACAAAGTCCATAGATATATCAGTCCAAGGCACACTAGGAATTGGCAAAGGAGAATACATACCATGTGGCTGAAGTTTGGACTTAGCTTTCTTGCATGTCACGCATCGTCCACAGATTCTCTCGACGTCCCTCTTTAAATGCGGCCAGTAAAAATGTTCCTGCAAAATGGACAAGGTCTTGACCACTCCAAAATGCCTTATTAGTCCGCCACTATGTGCTTCTCTAACCAGTAGATCTCGCAACGAACAATTAGGAACACAATGTTTATTTTCTCGGAACAGAAATCCTTCATGCCGAAAATACTTTCTAGAAGCAGTTTTTGCACAAGATTGAAACACTTCATGGAAGTCATGATCAGATTCGTACAATTCCTTAATGTATTCAAAACCTAGCAACTTAGCATCAAGAGAAGACAATAAACAATACCGTCTAGATAATGCATCAGTCACTATATTTTCCTTTCCTTGCTTGTAACGAATAACATAAGGAAATGTTTCAAGGAATTCAATCCATTTGGCATGTCGGCGGTTTAGCTTATGCTGACCTTTTAAGTGTTTCAAGGACTCATGATCCGTATGAATCACGAATTCTTTCGGCCAAAGATAGTGCTGCCACGTTTGCATCGCCCTCACTAATGCATACAATTCTTTGTCATACGTTGGATAGTTCAACGAAGCTCCATTCAACTTTTCACTAAAGTACGCAATTGGCCTTCCTTCTTGCATCAACACAGCTCCAATACCTATGCCAGAAGCATCAAATTCAATCTCAAAAGCTTTGGAAAAGTCTGGAAGAGATAAAAGAGGAGGGTCAGTAAGCTTCCCTTTCAATAGTTGGAATGCTGTTTCTTGAGCTTCGTTCCATTGGAATCCAACGTTTTTCTTGATGATTTCCATCAATGGTGCAGCAATGGTGCTGAAATCTTTCACAAAGCGCCGATAGAAGCTTGCAAGTCCATGGAAACTCCTTACGTCACTCACCGTCTTCAGGCTTGGCCAATTCTTGATTGCTGCAACTTTTTCTTCATCCATTTGAATTCTCTGCTCACTAACAACAAATCCTAGAAAAACTAGCTTGTTAGTGCAAAATGTGCATTTCTTGAGATTCGCGAATAGTTTTTCCTTCCTTAAAACTTCTAGGACAAATTTGAGATGTTCAACATGCTCCTCGATATTCTTGCTATAAACCAAGATATCATCAAAGTAAACAACCACAAATCTACCAATGAATTGCCTTAGAACATGGTTCATCAATCTCATGAACGTGCTGGGTGCATTAGTCAAGCCAAATGGCATAACTAACCATTCATACAAGCCATGTTTCGTTTTGAATGTTGTTTTCCATTCATCACCATCTTTCATTCGTATTTGATGATAACCACTTTTAAGATCTATCTGAGAAAAGACACGTGATCCATGCAATTCATCCAACATATCATCCAATCGAGGTATGGGATGGCGATACTTTACCGTAATATTGTTGATTGCACGACAATCAACACACATACGCCACGTACCATCTTTCTTTGGAACTAGGATGACTGGAACAACACAAGGTGACATACTTTCACGAACATAACCTTTCTCCATCAGTTCTGTGACTTGTCTTTGGAGCTCTTTGGTTTCATCAGGATTTGTTCGGTATGCAGCCTTGTTTGGAAGGCTAGCTCCAGGAACAAGGTCAATTTGATGTTCAATCCCTCGAATAGGTGGTAATCCATGTGGAAGCTCTTCAGGAAAAACATCGTCATACACCTGCAAGAGATCAAAAACCACACTAGGCAAAGACGATGTGAGTTCGTTAGTATTCAAAAGAGCCTCTTTGTACATAAGTACAATCATTGGCTGTCGAGAAAGCAATGCTTTCTTGATCTCACTCGCTCTCATAAAGAAATTGGTATTTTTCCTCTCGGGTGTACTCTCACAAGTCTTTTCCTGGGTTTTTCTCAAGGCCTCACTAGATTTTGAGTGATCTACCTCATGGTCACACATGTTGATTGGTTTCTTCTCATTCTTCATCATTTTGAGTTGATCTTCAAAAACCTCCTTTGGTGTCAAAGATACAAGTCGAATGGGTTTACCTTTGAACTCAAATGAATACTTATTGTTGTAGCCATCGTGT